TGGATTTAAAATTTATGTAAAAAATTTATTGGCTTATCTTCATTGATAATAAATTAAGGGATAACAATTCCCAAGTTAGGAAAGTAATTTAAAATTATTTTCAAAGAAGGGTATTTTTTTAGTTTTAGAAAAAATAATGGATTTAATTACTTATTAATAAGGACTTATTCCTTAATAACTTTCCTTGACGGACTAAATTCATTATAAGTTCTTTAAGTATGACTCTGCCTCAATTTTCACAAAAGTAAATCCCACTTATTCAAATAGGGCTGTCCCCGGATTGGCCTGTGAAATTTTTTTTTGGGTCGAGCTTGGGTAGTGTAGGACCAAGCCCATACATGGGTGAGTGAAGGGCCGGGCCGGACCGGGCTTCGGGTAGGGGTAAGCTACTCGCAGCCCAGCCCATCACCTATTGTGCGGGCTTTCTGGGCGGGCTTTTTGTTGGACCTATTGGGCGGGCCTGTTGGGAAATATTGAAAAAATATATAATTTTATTTAATTTTTTTATAAATTATATTTTTGAATTAAAAGTATAGTCATAATCAACATGGACAAAAATTAAATAGTGAATAATTTTATTTATGAATAGAAGAGAAATTGCATCACTATAGAATTAGTACATCCCAATTAAGTTGGCACCTACCCACCTATCTATCATTTGCACAATTCTACCCATTAAAAATTTTTGTAATCGAGGGTCAATTAACATACCAAAACTAATAAGTATAGGAAGTTGTGAAAAATATTTATTAAATTTAGATTGCATATTATGTAAAATAGTAGAAAATTCGGGTTCATTACTATATTGTTCAAATAGATCACTGATACTAATTATATGAACATAGACAAGTGTAATAGTTGGATAATAATTACCAGAAAAAATCATAGTTGACTCATAAAAAACTTTCAAAAAATATTTCATTTTATCAGTGACATCTCATTCTTCTTCGATGAGATGTAATAATGAGATAGTGATATCTATACTAACATAATCATTTAAGATAATTTTATATTTAACTATCACATCTGGCATTTTATAGATGGAGTTCCACCTATGTTGTACATCATAGTTTTTACATTTTAAATTATTCTTTCTACATATAGTTCCAAATGTCCTAAGTCTATTTTCAGAACCTATTATATGATAAATAAAATGTCTAATTTTATCAATTACAAATCTAATATCATAGAGACCACTTTGTACTATGAGATTTATGATATGACACATACATCTCATATGAAAAAAAGTACCTTCACATGGTAAAGTTAAATAACATTTTAAATTATTTACAGCCCCCACTATTATTTGTTGCATTATCTAAAGTAATAGTAAAAATCTTATCTTGAATACGATAAATTTGTAATTGATTATAAATAACTTCAAAAATGACTTGTGCACTATGATTATCTTCAATCCTTGTAAAAGTAATAATTCTTTTTTGCATAACCCAATTATCATCAATAAAATGAGCAGCTATACATAAATATCCTAATTATTGGTAAGAAGTCCAAATATCAGAAGTCAAACAAATTTTAATTTTAAGATTATCAAAATAAGTAATTAAATTATTTTTTTCTTGTACATAATATTTAATAACATCTCTTTGACATGTTTGAAAATTTTTTGAATGAAGACCCGCATTCAAAGTTTTGAAAAATTTGAACTTAATTGTCACCAACAAAAATTAAAGTCTCATCTACCACCTACCATTCATTCAAGTCTCCAACTCTTTGTTTTTTAACAAAAGTCTCCACCTCTTAACATAAACATATATGTTTGATAAAAAAAAAACATATATGGGCGAGTATGAGCTTCGAGCTTCGGATATGTGGGCGGATTATTGGACCGGGCTTTGGCCCGGATAATGGGTTTAGGAGTAAACTCAAGCCCTTTCTTAAAGGATATTGGGGTCGGGCTCGGGCGGACCAACTATCGGGCTTATCGGGCTTCAAGCTTATTTTTTTCGGGCAGGGTAACAGAACCCGTGGGTAACCCGGTCCATGGACCACCCTATATTCAAATAGATATCCCTTCATCAGGATTGACCCAACAGTGTGATAGATAAAACTTGTGTTTTAGGCCTTAAATTTATAAAAAGTCTTATAATTTTAGGTATATAATTAGCCCACATAATAAAATTAAATTCATAAAAATTGTAAGGCCTAAAAAAATACTCAAAAATTAAAAAGTTAAAAAAATAAAAAAATATGCAAAAGCCAACTCATACTCTCTTTCTATCCGCTAAAAAAAATAAAAATAAAAGCTGAAACTAAACTCTCATCTCCTCTATAAAAACAAAAACAAAAGTTGAAATCTCTCCCTTGGCAACATTAGCAAGAGTTCTCCTTTTCATTCTCTCTCTACTAGAACACATCCTCCTCTCTCATAAAAAAAAATACTAAAAATAAAAAAGCTTCATTTATTATTATTGCTTTAGACCTCAAATTACCTTGAGTCGTTGTGGAGTCATCTTATGCACTTGTTCATTTAACATTGGACGATTAATATTATGTGACAATTTTAACGTGGTATAACTGTTATACCCTCCATGTAAGATAATAACCACCCTATGTAAAAGAGTACAATAATGTTACACTGACCAAAATTAGAAATAAAAAAGAGTGACCAAATGACATAGCAGCTGACGTGGAAAGTCTATTGTGCAAATACTCTTCATGGCTGAATACCCACACGGAAATTTTCAGACAAAATTCAAGCCTAAAATCAAAGAAAGAAGTGAATTAATGTTAGATTCCAAAATTGAGAGATATGGTGGAATTCCTCAATTTGCTAGCAGGAAGAACAAAACCAAAAGAGATTTTGTTTCGGTCATCCAATATTTTCTGGTATTTGCAACTTCCACCGATGGCTAGAGTAGTTGGTTGTTTCATGGACAATGAATTTGCATACCTGTTATAAAGCCTTTGTGATCCCGGATGATTCCAGTCTTCACAATCCCTGGGTGTGCGACATTGAGACTTACCTTTATTTTTCTTGCCTGCAATAGATTTCATCAATCATATAAATTACAGATCGAGTACGGTACTTTTTTTTGGTATCGTATTGAAAATTATAACATTTAAATAACAATTTTTTGAGGATCTAACTTATAACTCAATAATAAAATATTATGGTTAATCACGAAAAATGTAATTTTTAAAAATTAAGTTGCATAATTTAAAGGTTAAATTAAAACGTTTTTGGTACAGTAATTGTATCTTCAACTTTATATGTTCCATCGTGAACCTTTTCTTTTAAACTTTAGGTTTTCAGAATGTCCAGAGGAATCGAAACTAGGTCTAGTGTCGTGCTGGGTGTCTATATCATGTGAAGTTGTGTTGTTTTAAAATTAGAGTTTCTACTTATATGCAATTGGGTGGAGTTTGACTCCGTGATTCTCGTTAATGTGGTGCTTGGGAAAATGGAGTGTGCTTGACAGTATTTGCATACTCTGCATCAGATTAGAAAGATACTTGGTCTGATGAATTTTAGAATTTGCCATGTTTTTCGTGAAGCAAATTCTTTTATTGATGGGTTAGCAAATCAAGCTGTGGTTGACCTATTGTCTTCTGACTTTACCCTGAGTGGACTGCCTAGAGGTGTGGCTCGATTGCTAGTGCAAGATTAGCACTTACTATGGGTGAGGGCATCAACGTGGTCTCCTTTCTGGCTTAATTACTCTGTTCTTTGCCTTTATTTGTGTTTCTCAGCTTTTCTATGCTTACGTTTTTTTGCCAGAATCGTCTTATTCTGCTTGTCTGTGCGTGTTAAGGAAGCGGAGAAGACGTAGATTTTGCCCCATCTGTCTTTAATTTAGGGCTTGAGTTTTGGGAAGAAATTTTTTGGATTTAATCAAATATTAATCTTACCTGATCAACATTCAAAGTCAACTGTCACCTCATTTAAGCTCTCTTTTTTGTTCCTAATTTTAGTCGGAATAATATTATTGAAAAACGTAATGCTACATGGATTTAAAAATTAGACTTAATAATCACAAACATTGAATAAATAGTGAGTCAAAATAAATATTGAGACCTACAATAAAATCAATAGTTATAATTATCAAATTCAATTTTTAATTCAGGTAACATTACTCTTTTGTAAAAAAAGTGGGGTCCTCCTATCCACTTGCTTATTTAATATTAAACGACTCTATTATATGGTAATACTGACGTAGTATAATCATTATCCCTAATATTTACCCTTGAGGTGGATATTACGAGGAGAAAGAATTATAAGTATATTTTCAACCAAAAAAAAACACAACCCACGTGCGTGGGTATGTATTTATACATGTCCATAACAACTTAAAAAAAAAATAAAAAAAAATAAAAAAAAAATATTTACTTAATTGGTTTAAACCAAACCTTAAGGAGAGCCTGCGATGTGCATGAGTGAGATAATTGAAAGTGCTTGACCATTTGTTTTTGTGAATTTCTTAGTTTTAAACAATCTACTAACACTTTGTGCACCCACTTATTTGTCTAATACTATTCGATATTATAAGTGAACAAGATCGCAAGTTCAGATTATTGAGTAAGAACATTAATGCTATATTTGGTTCGGATATGGTAAGAACATTATTGAGTAAGAACATCAAATGTTACACCACTCATAGATGCATTTACGAAATAGACTGAACCCTTTTTTAATTAAAGTGATGATATTATACACGAAATAAACTCTTTGATATTAAGTACATAAGCAATATAAAATTCTAATATTTAATTGATTTCTCTCTATTTGGTGCAGTTTCATTTCACATATGGTTTGGTTTAGTGGGTTGTCGCAATTATTTCAGTAAAACACGACAACTGAATAAATCAGAATCATTTTTAAATTACATGTCAAATAGAATCCGCATCTCACTCCTTAGAATAACATGCTATGATGTGCATTCCGGGATCACACATCTACACATGAGCAAAAGACAGCAAGCAGCAGAAATAGCGATGATAAAATCGACACACAGTTAACGGATATGAGTTTAGGCTTAATAGAATGATTCATCTAGTAAATGACAGAAACCCGACATGAGTTACATGACACAATCATAAATAGGTTGAGTATGCGTTGAGCAAATTTTAACACAACTTAAAAACAAAACGCGATCAATTGACAACCCTACACAGCAACAAAAAGGTTGGATATAACTAGCGATTTTACAGATGGTAGCCTGGAGAGTTGCTTCCATTCTCTTAGCCATTACTTGCAGATCTGAGCCAATAAAAGAATCCAAACCCTCCGGTCTAAAATTGGCTAAACATGATACGGATTTTAGGAAACATGTATTAAACACAACATAAATCAAATATAATATAACATGATTATAAATAGATCACGTATGAGTCAAACAACTTTTACACAACTTACACGATCACTTGACTACTCTAGGCAGCAACAGTGAGAGCTTCTTCCATTCTTTTAGCCATGACCTGCAAACCAGAGCCAATAAAAGAATCCAAATCCTCCAGCCTCCACCCTTCCACTGGCTCAACTTCATACCACCACTCTATCATACACCCATCTTCCATTGGCACCACTTTGACTGTTGACACATAAGAGTTGAACCCAACGTTTCCATCAACAATTGAATAGCTAAAACTCAGTTCACTCTGATCAATGGACAGCAATTTCTGCTTAGTCCAGTTCACTATCTCATCACCATTGTTGGCCGGAGTCTTAAACCCAGCGCAATAACGGATGCAACCTGGCTGGCCGGAGACTCCTTCCACAGGAAGGCATGTAGTGAGAGTTGGGAACCACTTGTTTAGGCTAAAGAAGTCCTCCAAGAGTGGCCATACTTGCTCTGCTTTTAGACCTCTCAGCTCTGCACAAGCCTTGCCTTCCCATTTTGGTTGGTGTTCATGAACCATTTGGTTTGCAGGCTCCATGAGAAGATCTAGGAATGGATAAACCAAGAACAAAAAATTCCTTTATTATGTTAGACCAGAGCAGCTATGGTGCTTACCAACGATTTATAAAGGCTTATAAATATTTCACTGACATAATATTATGCGGTAGTTGTTGGGCTTGTGGAGCCTAATTAATTTGTATGTTGATCCAGATGATGACTTTATCCGAAATAATGTTGCGTGCTTTTTAAAGGGAAATAGTGACTAAAATTTTTTGGGCGTGTTTTGTAGTCCAATACGCAAGACATATAAAAACCTGTTACTTTGATGATTAGGGTTAGAGTATAGTTGTATAGCCGTCATTTGTATTCCGTTCTCTCAATTATGAAATTCCTGCAGTTTCATGGACGTAGGCAAATTGACGAATCACGTAAAATCAGTATCTTGTTCTTTCTTGTTTTTTATTGTTTTATGTTCGTGGTTTGTTCTTCGATTGTGTGTATTTGTCTGTGAGTTTAAAGCGTATTAAATTTCAACAGTAGTCTTTTTTTGTTGTGTCTTCCAATCATTGGCATTTTTATTTATTTTTTATTTTTTATTTTTTATTTTTTTGGAAAGAGGAAGTGGAGGAGGAGGACTTAAACTTTTGATCTCAATAAAATAGAGTTTTTACAAGACAAGAACTACTATTAGACCAAAGACCCATTGGTTCAATCGTTGGCATTGGCTTGTCAATTTCGAAGTTTTTTTTGGCGTGTAGGGTTTGCAATAGATCTTGTTATATAGTGTCATAATAAATTTTCTCAATCCATACCTAATCAGTTTATACAGTCCTTTATGGTTGGATTGGATTCTTGTGATGTATTAACCGCATTTAGCCAAGTTTACATAGTGTTTAACTGTGTTACTATGGACTCTTTTTTGAACGGGTCTGGTATGACCATTCGTCCATTACCTCAACCTGTTATTGGCAGCCTGTTGTACAAGCTTCTGGTCATCGCGGTCTCAATAGAGGATTTACATACCCAGTTTTACCACCGCATACGAAAAACTAAACTTAAATCCGTTAATTTTTTTTATTGATTTTGAATCAGATGTATGTCTCATTTCCAAAACTGCTAGGCAAAAATCAAAGTAATGCACAATTGCTTAGGGACGAAGGTCTTTCAATTTCTATCTAAGAANGTATCTCAAAAGCTTTGAAATGCATGTATTCTTTTGTTTTCTTCAGTTTTAAAATAGTTTTCGGAACTTGAAGATTTAAGATGGTTCACAACTGGCATCGTATCTTCATAGGAGGTTAAGGAGTCGAGACAATAAGGGGGGGTATTTTCCAGTACGATGACTATGGTACTGTTGGGCTAAAAATAGGGCGTAAGAGGCCCTCTTATTTTGAAATGTACTGATGGGGCTTTTGCGCTGATTGAGTTTGGTGTGGGTTAAATCCAACCTAGATTCAAGCAAACCCAATATTTTTTTTTGTCAAATAAATCTAATTTAGTATACCAATTTCCAAAAAACTCTTTTTTTAGTGCACAAAATAGATATACAAATAGACCACTCTACATATCCGTCAAGAAACATTGTCTCTTAACACCATACAACTATCTGCAGGGGAACCTCACAGCACATACGTCGAGGCCGAAGCTAAGGTCCCACCGAATACTCTAGGCACTGAAGAATAGGTTGAGCTCCAATGAGCTACTATAGCTTGTGCATTGCTTGGGTGTGATTTTTAAGAACTCAAATCCTGTCTAATATATTTTTCTTTTAAATTTTTTNAAAAACCCTGCTCTCTCTCACACACACACACACGCACACACAGATATATATATATATGAATTGCCATATTGTGGTCATAACTGGCATGTCATGTCCTGTCCCTAGGTAGCATTAGTTCAAATCAAGGTACTAGCAGCATTGGAAGCCAGCGAGGAATCAAAAAGTATTTTGTCCTATGTTTCCACATTTTTGTGGTTTTGTGAAAGGGGACTATGACAATTGCTAGGCCAATCATACAAGGTAGACTGTGACTATACCATGTGAATCACCAATGCAAAACAAAGAATCCTAAAAAAATCTGAGATTGATTGCAACCCAAATAAAATATGCTTATCAATTTTTTTTGCCTAATTTTTATCTCAAATGATGTAACATATTTTATTATTCAATAACAGAAATTGTACCATATCATTTAATTTAGTTTGAAAGATTTGGTAAATATAACATTTTTCAACAAAAATAAACCATTGATCTAACATCCACCCATCACAAAAAAAATATATATATATATATCATTTTAAAGGAAAAAATATAAAAAATAAAGAAGAATTTTTTGGCAATTGTATCTCAAAAGCTTTGAAATGCATGTATTCTTTTGTTTTCTTCAGTTTTAAAATAGTTTTCGGAACTTGAAGATTTAAGATGGTTCACAACTGGCATCGTATCTTCATAGGAGGTTAAGGAGTCGAGACAATAAGGGGGGGTATTTTCCAGTACGATGACTATGGTACTGTTGGGCTAAAAATAGGGCGTAAGAGGCCCTCTTATTTTGAAATGTACTGATGGGGCTTTTGCGCTGATTGAGTTTGGTGTGGGTTAAATCCAACCTAGATTCAAGCAAGCCCAATATCTTTTTTTGTCAAATAAATCTAATTTAGTATACCAATTTCCAAAAAACTCTTTTTTTAGTGCACAAAATAGATATACAGATAGACCATTCTACATATCCGTCAAGAAACATTGTCTCTTAACACCATACAACTATCTGCAGGGGAACCTCACAGCACATACGTCGAGGCCGAAGCTAAGGTCCCACCGAATACTCTAGGCACTGAAGAATAGGTTGAGCTCCAATGAGCTACTATAGCTTGTGCATTGCTTGGGTGTGATTTTTAAGAACTCAAATCCTGTCTAATATATTTTTCTTTTAAATTTTTTTTCTAGGCAGATCATTCATCATTAACGAGTAAAAGATCTATTTGTATACAATAGATCCAACTTAAATACATAGTAAATAATCTATCAAAAAAGAAATTAAAGAGATAATGTATTAAAAGGGATCTCAATCTCTCTAAAAAAAAAAAGGAGTGAGAACCAGAACCACTCCAATACACATTTCTTCCTTTTCTTTTTTTGACAAATTATTTATCATGAATTCAAGTGGGAGTCATTTTATGTTAGTAGATCTCCCGTTAATACAATGATAGGTGATTTACCGAAAAGAAAAAACAATGACAAAATGTGTAATGAAGGAGATCTTAGTTCCTACAAAAAGAAGTGAAGGCGATCATTTCTAGATCCCGTCATAAGCGATAGTCTTATGCACTGGCTAGGGTGTTTGGACTTGTGTCATGATTTCTCTCTCTTTCAAGCACCCATAAACTCAAGTTTACCACTTAATCTCCTTCGGACATTCACCTTTAACTGTTCATCTTAGCGTACACATACCATCTTTCCTACCCCACTCCTCTATCTACGCATCTAAAATAGAAAAAGGCCCAAATTATTGAATAAGAAACTTTCAAAAATTTTGGAAGATTATTTATTATTGTGAATGTGTGTTTCACATACATTGGGTATGCCCCTAGTTATAGCACTTAGGAATAAACTACATACATACTCATACTTAATTTAGAGTGTGACAGATAAGTTAAACATGCAAAAAACGTTTCTTTCTTCCCCTAATATTGTAGACAGATATATATAATTGCTTCTAGTATTCCATATTTACATTTTTTTTCCCAATATTATGCCTTATTCCAAAGCTTGACTAGTAAAAATGTCAATAAGAACAAGGAAAATCATGAAGATTTCAAATTTCTCAGCCAATTGCCAAAGCCGTTGTAATATAGATAATTATTATGTGCTTTAGAGGAATTAGAGATTTAGAACCCATTTTTAATAAATGCCAAAAAAATACATAAATAACAATTTTATCTAGTCAATTGAGAAACTCAAATTTAAGAGTCATTGAGGCAAAAACCATAATAGGCCTTTAGCTGACGGATCAATCATATTATATCTTTGAACGACTATAATTAGAGTTTTGGTTTTCACCGAAAGTAATGATTTTCAGCCAAATGGACTAATGGACATCCGTGAATAACTATGTGACTATGGGTGTTAATCGAGCCGAGTCTTTCAAGTTTGGCTATACTGAGGTTTTGTTTGTACTATTCAAAGATTGCTCAAGTTTGGTTCGGACTCGCCTATCGAGTTCAAAATATTGTTAAAGCTCGGCTAAAATCGAATTTGAGCGAGCTTGAGCAAAAAATGAGTCATTCAAAAGAAAAAAATTTAATCTATAAATTTCAAGTACCAATCAAAAAATTTCACAAAAATATATAAATTTAAATTTTAACAAAAATCTAAACATAAAATCACTCTAAATCACATAAAAAACATACAACTTTAATATATACAAGTGTTTGTATATATTGATCACTAATAGCAGAGACATATAAATCATAGATGAGAATTTTTCTAGGATTTAAATTAGGGAAAGCCGTGATGGTGAGCAAGGGGGAGAGAGAGAGAGACCGAGATGATTTAGAATTCAATGATACAACAACCATGGAAGAAGGAAAGAGGGGGGAAGGGGAGGGGGGGAGAGAGATGATGAGTTGGCATGGTAGACTTGTAGTAGATAGACAGGGACATGACATGAGTTTTTTTTTTACTTATTAGGAAGAAAAACGAGCCGTCTCGTAAATAGTCTAGATTTGGTAACGAGTTTCAAAATTTATTTAGATTTAACTCATTTTATAATATGAGCTAGTTCAAACTGAGTTAAAATTGAGTTAAGTCCGAGCCGCCCCGATCACTTAACAGCCCTACAGATGATTAGTCGGACCAACCCATGACCCCATGTGTGGCCGGGTTTCCAGCGGACCCATAGACCACATTCGGTTTACCAACCCTTAACTTGAGTTGAAGAACAAACCCTACCCTTATCATTGGACTTGTCATGATCTCTATCTAAATCAATTTTACATCTTAAGTGGACAAAGAAGATAGCCAACTGGGAATGAAAGGACCCCATAACAACAGCTTCACCCTCACGCCATGTGGCATTCAATTATAAAGCCCGCCATTAAAGTTGAAGCTTAGGGGATTGAAATTGTAC